TTTAGTCTTGAGGATCTTTTACATGCAAGTAAATCTACGAACATGGGACAGCCGGCTTTACTTCCCCTCCGAAGGACGGCATACGAAGGATTTATTCGCCCTTAAAAATCCACGGCTTCGATCGGGTTTGAACTCGCCAACATGTACTCAGTAGCGAGCTTACAAAACCCATCCTTTCACAGCCATGGCAGTGTCCTGCGCAACACCCATCCCAGCCCACATCTCCTAGTTCTCCTACATCCTCCGTGACCTCTTTGGATCCAATTACTTTATCCCCCGAACCAAAACCTTGCCCTACCTCTCCCATTATTGATTTATCTACATTTGTCGCCCCTCTTTCCTCATCTCCTACCACTGCCGTGGTTCGATACTTCCTTCGACCACGTACTCGAAGTAAAAATGAGATAAATAAATAGCAACTACTGTTAAATGAAACAGATAAACATACGTGTAGGTACATGCAAAAAATTCAAATAATGCATCACAATGTGCAATCTCTTTGAAAGATAATTGAATTTATCGAGACAGCATTACAGTGTGATCTAGGTCAAATATATGTTTTTTTGCTTTACTGAACAATAATTGTCTCATAATGATCTAAATACACTTCAAATTCCTAGTTTTTAAAGGTAAAAAGGCAGGATCGTATTGTAGAGCGAGGGAATCAAATAAGGGCCCAGCTTAGAGAGGTTCGTGTGTATACGTAAGAAATGATATTGAATCTATCTTCTTGTCAGACTTCAATTTGTATGCAGTCGAAAACGTTTTTGAAATAACAGTCGTGCATCTTACTACGCTCAAAACTATCTTACTTTGCATCTACAAACCTCCAGCAAAGCGAACTTTAGATAATTTAATTTTCTTAGAACATCTAGAGATAACCCTGAACAAAATTATTCATCTATCTTTTAAATCCATTGTTATATGTGTAGATTTCAATATTTATATTCTGAGCGAATTCCACGAAAAAGAGCAGTTTCACAATTTACTGCATTCTTTTAATTTAGATATTACAGCGAAAGTACCTACACGGAATACATTTACATCACAAAAAGCAATAGATCAAATTATAATTAACAAAACCACAACTAGATATGAAATAAGAACTACTAATCTAGGTTACAGTGATAATGATGCACAAATTCTTACATTTACTAATAACATGAACACTGACACAAATTATACACGCATGTGCAGAGCATTCACTAAAATTAACATCAAATTATTTACGGAGTACTTGCTGAAGAAATCATGGGACACAGTTTATAATGCTGTTGACAATAATGAAAAAAATTAGTTGTACAAAAACACCGAACAATATTAAAATGTTTGAAGTTTTCAAAAATTCGGAGTTAAAGCGGAAAATTGTATCTATCCCACCTTTATAAGTGTACTTTCCTTTATTCTTACAACAAATTTAGATCCCTTTTTTGGGTAAATTTTGAAAATGTCGCGTGGGGGTATATAAAGTACCACCAAAGTTTAAAGAAAGCTATTCAAAATCGCAGCGCCTCGAGACGAGACAGATCGACCGGGAAATATCCATTTTGGAAGAAATCGTACGTTTGGTTAAGCGCTAGTGATGTTCAGAGACGGATAGACGAACAGACGGACGCACGCTTTGAAAAAAAACATTTTCTCGATGCCATGGGACCTCAAAACGTTTATTTCCGTGGAAATTTCGAAATCAATTTTCCGTACTTACTTTCTCTACGTTTATGAGAAAGTAAAAACATCCCTATCGTCAATATTAAAGTTTTACGGAGACGCCTAAAAAAGTTAGTAATTTTGATAATTTCAAAAAATCATATATTTGAACGAAAATTATACCAGCGCCATTTTGAACATTCTTTTCAGGAACAAATTTTAATAAAAATTGTTTAAGATATTTTTGAGAACTTTATAAAAATGTGGAGACTTTATGGATAGTACACCCCCCAAAAAAATCTGTTTCAACCTCGCAGTCGTTTGAGTTTGTCTAGATCGATTGTGAAATATCAATTTTGGAAAAAAAAGTAGAACGAGTTGGGCACTACCGTTGACCGCAAACGAGCAGTCAGACAATTTTCAAAAATGAAGAGATTTTGCCGAAAATGAAATGTTTTAAAAGGCATTTCCTTTTCTCGAGGTAAAAGTTTAAAGGAAAAAATGTTGGAGATATTTTTGAGAATAATTTTATAAATAACATTAATTTCAAGTAAAATTTATGCGGAAACATATTTTCAAACAAATGTATATAACTTCATTTTAAGTTCTATTTTTTTAAAACAAATTTAACTTAAGCAATATCTTCTTATCAATATTGTACCGTTGAAATCTTAATTTCTTGCAATTTTTTAAATTGCAGAGTTCGCCGAAATCGGGACTTTCGGGACCATCGCCGCTCCATCATTAGAACTAGCTGACTTCTGTAATACATAAATGTCTCTATTTTTACCTAATAATATTGAGATTTACTTATTTACTAATTGACTTTATTCGGTTTGTCTTTTAATATTTCCCTCCCATAATTCTATTTAATAATACTCTAGTAGTAGCATCATTGAACTGTATTCATACATTCTTGTACATGTATTTCCCTCGTAACCACGATCCTCTACATCCATGTAAATTATTTAGTGTGTATCACGATCCGTATCGATAGCAATAATGTATCAGTAAAAATAACGTTTTTATGCACTTTGCCACAATTTTGCTTTATCCATATTGGTTCAAAATTTTACCAAAAGCCATCAGTTGTCACGGAGAAAGAGCCAAGTCGTGTTCCGAGTTACGGTAATCTAGAAGACGTTCTGAACAAAACCCAGCCAAGATAGTATCAGCAGAGCACAATCCAGTGGCTGAAACGTAGGTCGTAACGACGTAATTCAATTTGTATTAGTACTTAGTATTATTACTTGTTCCATGCGTTTTTCTTGTGTGGATATGCTAACTTAACGTAAACTTAGCGTACACACCTTTAGTGTTGAATATTTTGATGTTGTACATCAGTAGAAAATTTTGAAATTTGGGTATAAATTAGTTCACAATTCGAACTTAATTCTGGTATATTCAGGTTTTTTTTAGTTTCATGCGTTTTTTTTGTGTGGGTATTCTAACTTAATGTTAAGTTAGCGTACCCACCTGTAGTGTTGAATATTTTGAGGTTGTGCATCGGTAGAACATTTGTTAAATTTGAGTATAAATTAGTCCTTAATTACAACAAAATTCTGGGAAACTGTTTCAATTTTGTGAAAGTGGGTATGCTAACTTGCCGGACATCCTCACGATGCCCCAGCGCCTTGCAGGTCAGCTGCGCTCCGATGCACAGCTCCTTCGGCGGCCGACGCCCTCCTGCTCCTAAAGCCTGTTTTACACGGTCATTTTTGCATCCTTTTTTTCATTTTTCTGTACAGTAAATGGATAGAAAAAGGACATTCGTTTCCACGCAGTATGTTTCGGTGCCGAAACTGGGTGAGAGTTTTACACGGTCATTTCTGTCTTTGTACGTAATCATGAAGAAAATACTTGCTCCGGACGCCGCATATAGCGCTGAAGTTCAAACATTTGAACATCGCATCTGTGGTAACAAATTAAGTTAGGTTAGGTTAGGACTGAGCTCGGATGCGACAATATTAGAATACAGTGCAGAATTTATTTCTCTCTACATAACCACTTCACATTGCAATTCAATACATCAGAACGCTCTCAGGCTACTACAAAATGATCATATCGCTCCACACGCATAACAAACTAGAGAAACTCCCGTAAAGTGCCGCCAGGAGCGCGGTAGTCAAACTGGATGAAATCTGTACCGAAAAATTAACCATGCGTCATTTTTTCGTACAAATTACATCCTTCCTGGCCTGTATCTTTTCTGTACCGGCGAAAAATGATAAAAAAATGATCGCGTAAAACAGGCTTAAGAGTCCTCTAGCGGGGGATGTGCTGGAACTTGGGCTGCTCTTGCGCTTGGGCCGCTAGAACGAATCTCAGTCCCAGTGAAAGCCGAGCAGCTCCACAGTGTACCTGGCTGTGCCAAAATCAAATAATTTCCTAATTTTTATAACAGAAAAGTACAGTAGGATATTACAAGACGCTACTGCATCTTACCTAACTTGTTTGTCTTGCAATTTACCAAAAATAATCTCTAATTTTCATACAATGTTTACGGGACTCTCCTCTAATTATTCTAAACCATTGAAAGACAAATGAATATAAACTAGGGATATGCGAGGCAATCACTAGCCAGACAGTTCGATCAGAGATCAGTTTTTTTTATAATATCTTCTGAACGGACTAGGCGCTGTGTTGTTCACAGACGGACGTGAGATTTGCCATCAAGCAGTTTTGCAGTATCAAGGACCCACAAAACGCGGATTCTGACTACACAATATTAGAGTGAATAACTTACGACACGTAGAATAAAGATTTGTACTCTTTTTCCATATCAGGAATCAACAATACGGGATTTTCGGACTAGAAATTGCCACTTTCCGATGCAAAATTACAATAATTGTTCTCTACTACGTACTTACGTAGTTAACGAGAATGTATCAGTTAAAAAAAAAAGATTTACGTAATGCTGAAGTCAGTTTATCTTATTGTGATATACTCATTTATTCAGAATCTGCGTACTAATAAAAAGTTAATTTAGTAAAAATTTTAAACCAACATTATTCATCGAGTTATTTCAAGAAAATGATTAATTTTTATTAACGTACAGACATAAGACCAGTAACAAATGTCGGTAAGGAACTGACAACTTGTGACCAAAGACAGGTGTTTTAATATTTTTAGGGCAAATGTACCCATAATATGATTTCAAACAATACGCCAGTAATGTAATCCCACAGGAAACAGCCGTACCATTATCTATTGAATTTATGATGGAAGTTGATCACTAAGATGATGAAATAGTACATTATATTGTATTTACTTTCCGATTTCGGGAATTTCAATGTGAAACAAAATACGAGTAGTTTTTTGTCTCAAGCGAAATACGATACAAGGAATGAACAATGTCACGCCCCGATCACGTGAAAGGAAGACATGTACATCACTTCGGCGCGTGGCTTCGTCCTCCCCCCCCCCTGCCTCTAATTGAAAGCGGCAGCTCTCCTGCGGCAACAGGCAGTATTTGTCGGAGGCCTCCTGCGTGCAGTCGCAGCCGGGTGGCGGGCGACCAGCAAAGCAAAATGCACGGAATGAGGATGGCCGAGATTGTGCAGATCCTCGACCGCGAGGACCGCTGCGTGCGGGTGGCTCTCCTCATTTTCGCCGTCATCCAAATGCTGCTGCTGTCGGCGCTGCTGCTCCCGGAGGACCCGGTCATATTGGAGATTCAACCTCTTCCCGGTTCTGCTAAAAAGGTGCATCCAGCTTTAACAACTGCAGATCCAGCTCCACAAAATGTGAAGTACGCAAATCATATTTTCCCGACAGATGGTATCGCGACTAATTCTACACTTAGCACAACTGAAAACGAAGGTATGGATTGCGCCTATATTGTTACAATTTCATGCCTTAACGTAGATAGCGCCGCAGTGATTTTTGCTCTACTCTCTTACTAGATCGCGTTGCAGCTGAGCCAACCAATACTAGCAATATTACCATTGGAGAAGAGGTTTACGATCTCGCTGGCGCAGTTATTAATTCACGCGTCTCACAGGAAGTGCTGCCCAAGCAGTACGATCAACCAGCTGCTTCTGGAGTTGGAAAGAGCCCTTCGGATATGGCAACGACGATTAACAGTACAGAAGAGTACGAGTTTGTTCCTTTTCCAGGTTCCACCAGAGCTGCAAAGCAAACGCAGCCACCCAACAACGCAATAAGTCGTTTTGGTAAGATTCCATTCAGAAACAATTTTTGAGGTGTTTTCTCAATTTCTTTGTTTATATATTATTCTAAAAGAGTATTTATTTGTATTTCTTAATTAAAATTGTTTAGAGTGTTCGTAACCACGACTGGAAACCGAATCTGAACGAGCACTTATGTTGCAATTGAATTCGTGAACGGAAAAACAGTACTAGACCAAAATTGGTAATTTTCGTTGTTGTTTTGTTTACAGAAATTAGTGCAATAGGCAAGAAACTACATCTTGAAAATGAAAACAGTTCAAAATGAGGTCGTTTGACTTGATATCAAGCAGATCCTTCTCTTTGATAAGAGAAAGAAGAGTATCTGTCCTCGAGATGTACTGCTCTTTCACTTAGCGACTCAGCTGCTTGCAGCGGATGGACCACTTTTGTTGATTGTCAGTCGTACGGGGCTGACGTAACTTATTTGTTTTGTTACTGATATAGAGTGTGCCTGTAATGACCCGAAGGGAGAAAGGCGAGAGGAATAGTAAGCAAAGATCAGTAATTTTGTTATTTTGGGTTGAAAGAATGTGTTCAGAGACACGTTTGTTAACAATCATTCAGGATCGTAATTAGAATATTACAAATTCAGGTTCAACGGCTGATAGGAATTCTATTTCCTGGTGTGCCTTCAAAAGATGGAAGAGGAAAGCAAAACAGCAGATCACATGCTAACAAGTGTAAAAATTATATAAATGTAAAAGACCACACATAATCACGCCGATAATTGCGAAATACTCATCACAACGATAATTGCGAAATACTCATCAGAGTCCATGAAATTTGTGCTGAGTGAATTGAACCTCAAAATACAGCCTGTTCACAAAAAAATCTTGAATAGGAAGGGATTTCTAAGTTTGTGGGTATTATACCTAGGGATGCGCTATCGGGTATTCAAATCAAACGTCAAAATTGGCACACTAGCACCCCTAGGGAAAGCAATGGCAAACTAACCGAGGTGTACGTGCCCATGAAAAGTCTCACAAGAAGGGGTTAGGGGCTTCTGGATACTAGCCTACGCACTATGAAGTGCATGGCAGTAAAAGAAGGAAGAGCTCTACTTAAAGTTTGAATTTGAAATTCGGACGACCCCAAGTTATTGTATTACAAGCATGCACTCTTATAACAATAAAACGAGGTATTTTTGTGGTACATTGTTATTTTGCATAAAATTGGATTGGTAAATCTTCGTTAAGATGAAAAAAGAACAGTTTTTGTTTAAAACCTAACACATTATTAATAAAATTTTTGACACAATTATTCCTCAGAACGTATTCGTATGACTTGGTACATCATTTCTGAAATATGAAAATTATTGAAATATCAATCTTTTTTTGTCAAGTATAATCAATCATATAACTAGAATGATCTCAGAATGAACCTTCTGGACTAGCATTCTTTTTCTACTCACCCATTTAATTAACGTCTGGTATTACCCAAGGACTGAGGTTCTGCTTGCATTTACTTTCTCGCTACGAAATAGAGAAAAAGTTACATAATCCTGAGCGAAAAAGTTGCAATTTACGGCAGAAAACTCTTATAATAGGGCCCTGGTCCGGAAAAAGTATATAAATCCAGTTGCTAAATTTAGAAAAAACCTCTTAACAAATGACGTTGCCTGAATCCGTGCTTTGTGGGTACTTAATGGCAAAACATTCAATAACGGCAAAACGTCTGTCTCTCTGTGTAAAGCACTAGCGGCTAAACCCTACAACCTCTTTTCTCGAAAATTGATATTCCCCAATCGATCTGGCTGATGTCGCTACCCCTTGAATTTGAAACCAGTATTTTAATTAATAATACTTTGCAAGAAGCCCCTCGGACAGTTTTAAAATTTTCAAAAAATGGCTCCTTTGATTTTGATTGAATTTTGTTGTTAGATAGTGTGAAGGACTTTTAAGAGAATGGTTCATTTCACATTTTCGTTAAAAACTTTGATTTTTCGAAAATTGCAAAAAAAAAATTTTTTTGGCGTTTTCCTACTACTACAATTATGAATATTGATACTTTTCTCCTTAATGAATTACGTTCCTTAGGGATAGATGTTGAAATAAGGTCATAATTTTTTTCAAAAATTTGAGTACCTTACGCGTAAAAGTACAGGCGAGAATGTACGATGTGATACGTCATTCATAAATTAAAATCTTTATGCACTCCCATATATCTCCTCACACAATAAATACTTTTCTATCAGACAGACTTTTGCGATTACCATTGACAATCACACACATCACTAGACAAAATTTATGTATGGTCCATAAAATGGAAACGCAAACTCAATGCCTAAAAATCTAATGCAAAAATCTTTACACTCAGACAAATTTGCATCTCCCCCCCCAATCAGTAATTCACTAATTCCTTGGACGACACCCAACCAAATTATAAAATGTCTAGTACTAAATCCTGATACGAAGCTACAATGGAAAGATTATATGAAAATGCAAAAACGCGACTAGCAAGTATAAAGATCCTCCATCTAAAACCACTCATTAGTTACAAAAGTAAAATCTCTTTAAATAATGCAATAATCCTATACAAACGATATCCTATCTATTATGATATATGCGTGTCCCATCTATTTAAATATCTCAAGAACCTGTTTAAACAAAATCCAAATCGTTCAAAATAAATAACTCAGAACAATTTCTTAATCCCCATGGTTCGTTTTAAATCTACAGTTGCACAAAGAATTAAATATCCCATACATAATTCCATTCATCACCAAGATTTCCAGCAAATTCTACTCATGCACCAACCAAAACGATCACCTATCCCATTTCAGCCTCACTCAAATCCCAGATTTCCGTACAAAAATTAAAAACAGGTTCCCAATTCAAGCTTTTTTGAATGAGTTGGAGAATACGTAAGGCGCTTCATGAGCTCCGTCTCCTGAGTAGTTAGCTTTAGAATTAAGTTCGTTTTTAGATTAACCTAACTCACAAAAAAATACATATCTAAAAGTACAATTATACTGATCTATGTAACTTGCAGTTCAAATAAAAAGAAAATGAAAGAATGTGATACATATCTGTATTATTATTATTATTATTATTATTATTATTATTATTATTATTATTATTATTATTATTAGCCAACTAAGATCCCTTAAGGGCAAGGACTAATCTGTATTATTAGTTTCCAATTCTCGCAGAAATAGAAAGAAAATTATGCAACCTCAAGACATGTTAGAGATGTCAGTTGTTTCGTACGATACACAGCAACAAGGACAAAATCTAAAATCAAAGAAACGATTTCAGTTTTCACTAAAAAATGCAAGTATTTAATTTTGAAATTGCGTCTATTGCCCGTAACGACTGAATTCTAATCCTCAATGTGCCACTGCTTTCAATAAGCTGATATCACTCGACAGCACGACTCCAATGAAAAGGCTGTCCACAATTAATTATTTCAATTCTTCTTACTACAACTGGGAACGCACACTCTTATATTTTGGTGTGTTAAGAACAAGTGTCTTGTACAGACACTAAACAGTGTTATTGAAATATATTCGTAAAAAGAGGTTTTGTTACAATATTTAATTTATTACGTGTTTTACGACGTATATTAATTATTCTTCTGAAGCAGTGTGCGTGTTACTTTCTGGAAAGCAATTTGAAGGGTTACGTTCAGCAGAAATTTTGCTGCAGAAAACATTACTACTTGTTTAAGAATAAGTTCAGTTTCCAACCTCCTCAAAAATACGGAGATTGACCCTGGATTAGCTTTTGGTGACAAACTGTAGTTTTTTTCCCTCCGTTTCCATAACATCACATACATGTTTCTGTAATTTTCGATGCTAAATAAATGGATAAATAATTTTTCAGATGAGAAAGCAACTACGGCAAATAAAGAGAAATCCATTACCTCTGCTGCACGTTTCGGCCAAGGCTGGAAGGACACGATCGCCGGCCGCTTCTTCAGGTACGACGTGGCGGGCGCGAAGGTCAATCGGCCCCAACCATCTGCAGCCAATGACCTTGGACAGCGCGAGGCGCTGCCGGCCATGAACGGACTCGCGTTGCTCCCGCTGTTGGACCGCCTCTATTGGGCTACCCAGCGCGGACGTGTTCGCACCGCCCACGTCGCCTCCGCCGCCGCCACTGCAGCTGTTCTGCAGGCACTAGCGCTTGCCTGCCCTGTTCTTCTGCTCCTTAAAGCCAAGTATTGGGGCTAACATCACGACAGAAACTGCGAGTAAGTGTGAATCATTTCAAACTCGTTCAACATTTTCCACTTTAAACATTTTCTTTAATCGCGGCACTTAATGAACTTACTAATTCTAAAACGGTGCTTGTAACAATTGTTTCAATTTGATCTCATGATTGTAAATATTTCAAGAAAATAATTAGAATGTAAGGTGCACGTAGTGCACATTTGGTAGTACCTGTGTTATCTGTATATGTGGAAAACTATGCAAACCGTTTTTGCACATCTGTAACCGAAAGTAAGGAGAATCTGACCTGAAATTTTGATCTCAAATTAGCAACCATAAAAAAGCAACATCGTCCTACAAATAATTGATAGCTTGTATTATTAAGAACTTTAAAATATTTTAATAAGTGTACGTTCTTCAAGGCATGTATATTAACTGAATCATTTTGGATACAAAGTCTTATAATTGATACTGACTTTCGTTTTATTTGCAGATACTAGCACTGGGACATCGAGGAACTATTGCTCCACTTCTTTGAGTTCATTAATGAATGTGATTAATTTGGAAAGTAATGATCTAATAAAGATAAATTCTGTTTTTGGAATGAAAACCGGTTAGAAACAATAAAAGTAACTAGTGTTTAGATAAATTTACGTTATTTTGACTCTCGTTTCATTCCAAACTCTCTAATGCTACCTTCTCTATATTCCTAACGTTGTCATTCCTCTATTCCTATCGTAGTTTCCTGCAAAATAATATGATATTTAGCCCACCTTACAGTTTCCATTTCAGTGATTTGAGTTATCTTCATTGCTACTGATACATATTCATATGGTGTCAGTATGAACAGCTCACTACAAAACATCTTCTTGAAAAAGATGTACGTTACTTAACATTTATAACATATTTCTAGATAACATCAAACAATGGAATTCCTTTGACAAGTTTAATTCCAAGTAAACTATTTTCTGCTATATAACTAACAATTAAATTTCATGTTGAGCACCAGAAACGAAAATATTACTTTAATAGCGATATTATTGCGTTAGCATATATATTCAATTGTATTCAAATTGCGACAGTCTAAAAGATGCTTACATATTGATACATCAAAGGAGAAACTAGCTGCTGTTTGGATAATCTGATGATACAATATTATTGCGAAAACAAAATCCTACATTTGCACCTTACGTCGTTGAGAGCGAAACTAAATCTCTTTTTGTGATATCATGAATTCTAGATAACGAAACTGAATCGTTAATAAAACACTTGGGAAGAAACTGAATTCCCATGACGATCTAGTTTCGTCCCTAAAACTAAGCTAAATTCCCAACCGCAGAAATGTTTCGTTCCAGAGGCAGTTTTTTTTATTTGTCAATATATTTCTTCTCCACAATATGGATTTTAGTTTCGTAGCATACTTTAGTTTTTATGCACAAAAAACTGTAACGAAATGCCTAATTTCTCTTAGTTTCGTTTCTGTTGCCATTCTTGATAACATCATACTACATCTAGCAATATCTCGTAACTATAAGTTCCACACATAATTAAACTGAGGCGGTCAGAATAATGACGGTAGATTCAAACTAAAGATCGTTTCGAGAAAAATTACTTTTCTCTTTTCGTTCACGTTCACTTTCTCTATGGACAAAGTTTATAAGGTGGAATTTGAGGGATTTGCAATGTAACAGTTCCTTTGATATTTCAACACATGGTAGGTATGTAGCAGGATGATACCGTCAATAGTTTACTATTCAATAACATGTGGGAATTTAAATACAATTTATATAGCAAAGCCAGTTCGTGAGCACTTTCCGAATGCTTCCAGGACCGAATATTATCTTATTAAATTTGTTTGTGAATGTGTTCACCATGTACTTAATAGTCTAAATATAGGAATATAGATACATATACTGAATAGAATTGAATAGAATTGTAGGATTTACCATTATTTACAAATTTAGTATTTAAATATTTATTTTAGTTATTATTATTATTTATATTATCTTAGAGCTTAGAAGTAAATAGTTGTGTAGCAGCTGATTTGTTTACAAATTTAGTATTTTATGTTCATTTTAGTTCTCATTATTTAGATTATCTTAGAGCTTTTCCCATACATTTTTATTGTTTCATGCTCACTAACTTTCAAATTGCTTGTAATAAAATATTAATGATTATTGTAAAGCAAGATCTTTCTGAAACTCAAGTTCAGAATTGCTGTGAAATATTACGAGTTTGAGTACTCCTTATCACCACCTTTCCCCATCTGAAAAAGGAAGCACTTTGCGCGTAAATTCACAATCTTATTTCAATTCCACATTGTGTTAAAACTGGGTGGTGTGTTCACAGACATCAGACGGACGTTTTTGAAAAAAAGGGACAAAAACCTTTCGCGGTATCAGGGGACCCCAAAACGTGTATTCCCATTGAAATCTCGAAATTTATATTCTGCTGCATTACATAACTTTCCCTACACTACTACGTATACTACTACGTATGTATGAACGTACGTATACGGGAAATGTTACTTACGTGAGATGAATTGACCTGTTCAACTTTCTTTCTAAATATCGGAGAGGCTGTGATTCCTGAGGTCATAATGGTGCAGTATACATAGTGATTTCTTGCTACGTACGTGAGTTCCTAACCTAGCATGGACACAAATTTTGTGAATTGGAAACCCTTCTGCAGGCTTCGTGTGGTATTATCATATTGCCATTAGCAATAGTGTGTGGAAGTACATGTTGTAGCACTATTAGTTTTATTTAATTTTTTTTGTCTTTTGCTTTCTATACATTTTATTCATCGTGGAAACGTCGCTGGGACATCGATAACTGAACAACGAAAAAGAATAATAATTATATGATGTTTTTATTACAGAAAACATACCTATGAAAAAGTGCTTATTAAATTTTTAAAAAATGGCAATTAAACATTGCTGATTGATCATCATACAAAAATTATATATGTCATCAAATTAAAAATCACCCGTCGGCCACTGACTGAGACGCACTTTACTACCGACACACTCGCGTTCACCCGTCGGCCACTGACTGAAACGCACTTTACTACTCACACACACGCGATTCCCACTCGTCCGCTGCTGGTTGAGCCCGCTCACTGTCGGCATACAGGTCTTTGTCTACGCCACATCTCTCCCCACCACCGCCCCCCACTCTGTTCCTCATCACGTGTCTCTTTTTCTTGCACAATACAATTTTGTAACATGCAATTTCTATTACATATAATATTACTCTGATAAATATTCTGTTCCAACCTGTGCGAATCTCCAATATGGACGAATAAACCCTTTATCCCAGCGTTCGTTTCGATAGTCCTTTTCAATGTGTAAAATTTCAACTATACGAGAAGATATAACCAATGTTTACGGGTTATAGAAGAAATAATATGACATTTTGAATTGTACGACTGTCGTTCGTCTTTCAAAATATCAGACGACGTTTGCCTACATTATCTTTTAAATAGGTTAGAGCGATTATGTACACTAACAGACACTGAACACTAACACTACATAAACTACACACTACTGTACACTAACACACCTATGTACACATTATAAAACAATGTGAATATATTTTTTCTAAAGAGATGAATGCACCACACAACCACACACTGATATATTTACTATTTATCCTTAGTCGATAAAAGACAATATGAGGAGAGAATACTCTTCACGAAATTGAGATTCGCTTAAATAGCCATTTTGAATATGTTCCTCTAAAATTATACTATATAAGAAGCGTATACAATGTGTTCACAGGCTGTAGAAGAAATTATTTTACATTTCGATTCGTATGACGATCTTTCAATATCTCAGAAAACGTTTGTCTAATTTCTTATTTGAATAGTACTTCACTGCTTTTAAAAACAATTCTATCCAACGCTTCTTCGGAAAATACACTTTTCCATCTATTGTGAAGTGGTACCATACTCTCACAAGCATCAGAGTCACTAACCACTTCAATCCATTCACAAACCACAAAAAAAAAAGATATATTTTTTACTAAAATCACCTTCAATACAAATATATGATGTAATAACACAATCCTTTTAAAATCAGCCACAAAAATTTGTTTGAGCAAAGCATTAGTAAACACATCAGCATTGGTTACTTTCATAGGAAAATCTGTGAAAACATTGATATTATCTGTAGTCGTCGTCCGCGCCCATTTGAAAGAGCCGCCACAGGGACTCAGCGATGGCGTCACAAGATAATACGGGCGCCGCTCACAAGAGTTCGCTGAGATCGGGCGAAGCTGAACAGTCACGCTTCAGCCGCAGCAAGCGAGCGCGTCGCCGGCCGTACGGCCGGGCCAGCCAGCCCTCAGCCCAGAAGGGTTTAAATCAGCACGCAGCGATCGGTGAAGCACTGAACAAAACAAAATGTAAAAAAACAACACAAACAAAATAAAAGAAGAAAATAGAACAATGAAAAAGAACTCCAATTTAAATAAATAAATTAAAAAAGTCTAAAAACTAACCAATCCCAAAGCGGGAATGAATATACTTATAAGATTGTTTTAGATAGTCTGTAAGTAAAAACCCCTCCCTAACTGCACAAGCCAAATCGGTTGCAGTTGAAAATAATGTATTTCGAAAGTCAAATAAATTGCCGCCTCTCCAGGGTAACTGGAGAGGGAAAAAAATTATTTAAAAAAAGAAGGTGAAACAGTTTGTCTTCCCACGGTGTTGTAAGCGTAGTGAAGTGCGAGTACAGAGTGTTTACGTTGCCGGCTCGACTAACGGATCAATGAAATCTAAATTGTGACAATGTTACTGAATAACAATGAATCTTAATACTTAAATTTGGTCAAAGACGTAGTTACCTCGACCGAACCCGGGCCTTCTGGTTTTTACGCCCAGCTGCTCTAACCACTAACTTACTCTTTACGTGATTATCTGTCTCTGATTTTCGAATTTTACTAGCTTCCTTACCCCCTCTCAGTTCGTCTTTGTGCTGAACGTGTGTGTGTGTGTGTGTGTGTGTCGTTAGATTAACT